TCTTGTTCTTCCCCCTCTTGAACCTGGTCCTGTCGTCGATCTTCTAGCCCAGGGCGTCCTGTTTCCTCGCCCACGGCCCCCCTTCCCCCCTGAACTCTCCGTTCGTGCATCAGAGGGAGTCGAGATTATCATCTCTCCTCTCATTGCTCTACTACTACCATTGCTACTGCTTCTCGTCATCCTAATTAGCGCCATTGTCATTTCGCTTTCACCGACGACCACTAGTGCTGTTTGCCGCAAGATTAATAATCAGGACAACACTACTGCTTCAGTACGTTTGATTGTTCCTTGTAGGCTATTCGCAGATGGCACCGTGAAGTGTCATTGTATTACGTATAACATATATGGATATATAGTCCATAGTAATATATAACATATTGGCGCTCTGATATTCATGTGACAATATATGTATATATAACGTATATCCTGACGAGTCGGTGAAACTCCGATGGAACAGTTGGTCACAGCCCCTCGTTTGTTGATCTCTTCTCCCTCCCTCTCCTCTCTGCCTACTACGGTTTACCGTCGGCAGCTCTGTTTGACGATATATATCATCACATGAATATGAGAGCGCAAAAGCGAAAAAAAGAAAAAAGAAAAAAGAATGAATTCGTTTTTTTTAATCTTCTTCCTTACAAGACTCCCCCTGTTCAGAACCTCTTGCGTACGTACAAGGCCGCCCACGTGGATGTAGGTTGAGCGGGGGCTGCCCCCACCCTCGTGTGTCATATCGACCCGCTTGCACACAGCCACCAAAGGGCGAAGAGGCAAAGAAGAGAGGAAGGGAACAGCCAAATAAAACAGAACAGGGGCCAACAAAACAGAGATGTGAAAACATTCTTGTCTGCAAAAAAAATAAAAAAAAGGCTCCGATCCCAGTGTGACAACCAAAAGGAAAGAAAAGACAATCCCGGATGATGATTCCCACATAGAAGCACCGCCCCGCGCTCAGAAGGCCGAACAACGGGAAACAACCAACCAGGATGCCCAAGAACAAAATCGAAGCAGACAAGATTAAAACAAATCCTAAATGACAATCCTAGATGACAAGTCCCACATGCAAACACCGCCCCCGGCAACTACAGGCCAAACGACGGGACAATACCAACCAGGATGTCAAAACACACTTGCCTGCAAAACGATAACCAGATGACCAATCCCACATGAAGCACCGCCATCCCTCCCTAAGATAGACCAAATAACGGGACAAGGCCAACCGGAATCCAAGCAGACAAGATTCTCATTCACAAAACAAACATTCTACCATATCCATAGTAAAAAAAAAACGGAACCATTCAGTAGGCCCGCAAAACGCAACATCCCAACAATAAGGAAGATTAAGGAGAAGAAGAAAAAAATATACAATAGATTAAAAAATATTCTCTTCCATAAGAAAAGACAAAGCCTGCTAGTACAGGCCCGACACTCGCCGCATCATCAGCAAAATATACACATAGGTATATATATCGACATACAGTCGACAAGCATTTTCGGTGCGGTTTTGACTTAACGGCATCACTGCAGTTCCGTTGGATTGCATTGCTATGCAATGCATTGCAGCTCAGCGGAACTTGCTATACTTGCTTGGACTGCCTTGTGGATCGTCGTCATGAACATCGTGGGTGGAAGGAGGGACGCTTCCCTCAGAAAACTTGCCTCGCGAGCCAAGGGCTGCGTGTGCACTGGCCAAAGGCCAAGAGGCTGTCTCGAGGATGGGAAAGGGAGGCGAGAAAATGGGGGGAAAGAAACAAGGACGAGAGAGGAGAGGGAGAGAAAAGGTATATACATCGTCAAACAGAGCTGCCCGGTAAACCGTAGGCAGAGAGAGAGAGGGAGAAGAGGACAACAACCCAGGGGCTGTGACAGACTGTTTTGTCGGAACTCATCAGGAGGACATATATATTGACGATATATATATATTTGTTTATACATGTTTATATATGTTTAGAGAGAGAGAGAGAGAGAGAGAGAGAGAGAGAGAGAGAGAGAGAGGGGGAACTCAT